TTGAGTGTCTGCATTTGTATATTGCACTTGTCTGAATTGTTGTTAAAGAATGTCCAGGGTAAATCCTTAAACGGCTGTTACAACAACATTTTTCAGCTTTTTAAAATGATAGTTTGAGGTTTTAATGTAAAATCTAAAAAGAATGTTAAAATTGGTTCATCACGGTACAAAGACATGCATCTCACATACCTGTATAACCATAACCAAACATAAACTATACATTGGGAAAATGCTCTGCTTTCTGAGATTAGTCTGTAATGAAGATTAGAGTTGCGAAAGACATTTCATTGTAAAATGACTAAATGCACAATTCTCACCCGCTTCTGGTAGATTTCTGAAGAGTTCTGCTGCACAGGAAGCATGTGACTATCTTACTAAAGTTCTGGGTATAAGTCCATTATTACTGACAGAACTGGATCTGAGTGAAGATAAATTAGGAGATCTGGATGGAGAGAAACTCTCTGCTCTTCTGATGGACTCTCATAGCAAAGTGAAGAAAATCAAGTGAGTGAACATAAATTTATGCACAATAACTTTCCTGACTGTTATTTTTAAAGCCTGTCAGTTATATGTACTCTATAAACATTCATACTGTTGATCTGATGTTTTGAATGCTGAATATTAAATAATGCTGTTTTTGTGTTTAGGCTGAATAATTGTGAGCTGACAGAGAAAAGCTGTTCACTTCTAGCTGCAGTTCTCTCCTCCAAAACCATCCTGAAAGAGATGAACCTGAACAACAGTCGTCTGCTGGACTCAGGAGTCAGAGAAATCTGTGAGGGACTGAAGAATCCTGTGTGTGAGCTGAAAATACTCAGGTCAGTACATTTCAATAGCAGATACACCGATTGCAACAGCAATAACAGGAATAATATTTATTGTATGTGTTCAGCTTTAAAAGAACATTTAGAGAATGGCTACTTCACCTAATTGAAAATAGCGATAGCTGATATGACAACATCAATTATTTCAAAGCTATCTACACTAGTTGCAGTTTACATTTCATCATACACAAGCACTTTTGAATCAAATCCAGGTTTTACTGATGTCACGCAGAGCAGGCCCAAGGCATAAGCAAACTAAGTGGTTGCTTATGGCCCCGTGGCCACCAGGGGGCCCCCAAGAGTGCTTGAAATTATTGTGTGACTTTCGTTTTAGTTTGTTGAGTTGTGGATTAGTGGTGGGACAAAATATATGCCCATTTATAGTGTTATTTCTGACCGCAATACATACTCAGGCGCCAAGATATTACCTAAATTTACAAAAGATCTGATTTAATTAATCAGTTTTCCACACTGACTGCAGCAGATTTTTGCCACTACATATCAGTTAATTCTCTTTAGGGTATTAGTACACTAAAGCAGGCTGTCAGGGTACTGTAGTTGTCATGTTTTAGATTTGTATAATAGCCTGGCATGCAGTTGCAAAGCTACTTAAAAGTCAGTAAAATGTCATTTGCAAGGCCGAAGTGTTGGCAAATACTAAGCACATCGTTTACTTGGAGTCTATTGATAATGAAAGTTGGTATAGTTGTACACCTAGTAGAATGTCTGACACTGTGTCCTTACAACATGCGACATGACAAGATTCCAGTAAAAGTCTAAGATCTGCTGCTTTTAGTATGGCAATAAATGTCTTGTAAAATGGTATTTAGACTTACATTACTGGCGGTTAACACTAAATAAAGCACATAATCAGCTCCTGAGGTGATCTTTGTCATAGTAGTTTGGCCGCAGTGTTGCAGAAACTTTGCATATCACTGTTGCAGCATCACATCATGTGTTGTTAGGACATGTTGTTATGTGGTCCACTGAAATAGTAGACATACAGCTGCATCTTAATAAATTAAAATATCACTGAAAAGTTTATTTATTTCAGTAATAAAATTCAAAAAGTGAAACTCCTATCAGTCTGCGTGTAACAAATCTACATAATATATATGTCAAGTGTTTCTTTTAATTTGAATGATTATTGCCTACAGCTAATAATAACCCAAAATTTAGCATCTCAGACAATTAGATAATCACTGAAGACCAACACAGAAATGATGGACTACTGAATGTATGAACATGTACAGCACACAACACTTGGTCAGAGCTCTTCTGTGTTGTTGGGTCTGGTGTCTCACATCGAACTCTTAACAACACCACATATAATCTCTGAGTGTTTAGACCAGGCCCAAGTAAATACAGGCATATCATGATGCTTAAACCAGGTGTTAGTACTTTTGGCAGTTGTGGGCAGGTGCCAAGTTCTGCTGGACAGTCAAATAAGCATCTCCGTTAAGCTGAATGTGAACTTTTCAATGAAATTCTAATTTATTGAGATGCACCTGTTTATAACAATAGATGTCAGTAGTTTCCAGCCATGTTCACAAAGGCCCCTCAACACTGCACAATTTGCATGTCTCCTTAATCATGTTTGTGTTTGTACAGAAGAAAAAACTCTTCTGAACTCTGATGTTCATTTTAATATGAGTATTTATGATTTTCAGTCTTTCAGACTGCCGTATCAGTGAAGAAGGTTATAAAGCTCTGGCTTCAGCTCTGAGATCAAACCCTTCACACCTGATAGAGCTGGATCTCAGAGGAAATGATCCTGGACAATCAGGAGTGAAGGAGCTCACTGACTTACTGGAGGATCCACACTGTACACTGAAGACACTGAGGTGAGGGACTTGTCACTTTAAGTACACTAGTTTTAAAAGATAAATAACATTTTAAAATTAAAGCTTTTAAGATACTAAATAAATCTTCATATGTCATGTAATGCCAGAGTACCTCTTCTCTTTTTTAGGTTTTTGAGTCCTGCTGCTGATGAAGGCTGTCACTTTGTGACTGAAATGGTGGGTAAAAACCCATTACTCCTGAAAGAACTGAATCTGAGTGATCGTGTACTAGGAGACACACGAGTGAATCAACTCTCTGCTCTGCTGCAGGATAAACACTGTCAGATCCACACACTCATGTGAGTATTGTTTTTTCTTTTAATTTGTTTGTTTGTTCATTTATTTTGTTGTCATTTTATTTATTTACGTTTAATGTAAGACTTCACTAAACACATGAGGCAATAGGATTCTCAATGATTGTTTGACAGTTTGCTTTTCTCACTAACATTTAAAACAAATAAAAAATTAAATTTTATCATTTCTCAAATAACATTCTGCACATTTCATATGACATTTAAATACTTAATTTTTTCAAAATTCTAAATCAAATAAATGAAAATTTATTATATAAAAAAACAGTCTATTTACAAAGGCTTTACCTGTGTTTTTTTAAACATATATCAGCATGTTCACATTTTCCAGCAAAAGCTGAGATCTCAGCTCATGTAGAATAGGCTCACACCTCAAACGCACACTTTTAGTTTCTTACAGAAATCAAGATATAAAAACAGTAATATAGAGTTTGTCAATGAATATTTGTATCAAGTAATTGTCAATGTAAATTCTTCCCCTCCTGTTTAATATTTTAGGCTGCGTAAATGTGGTCTAACAGAGGAAAGCTGTTCAGCTTTAGCAAAGAAACTGTGGTCTTTGTTGATTATGCGTCACTAGCTACCATTACTTTAATGCGCTAGAAATTTCTAAAACCTTAGTTAATCATTAGAGATACAGTTTGAGTCATTGTCTTTTTCTTTCTGTCTTCAGTCTGTGTTATTGCAGTATTACAGAGGAACAGTGTGTGATCCTGACTTCAGCTCTGAAATCAAACCCATCACACCTGAGAGAACTGAACCTCAGTGGAAACAATCTAGGAGACTCTGCAGTGAAAAAACTCAGTGATTTACTGATGAACCAACAATTCAAGCTGGAGAAACTACGGTTAGTAACATTATATTGTAAAACGGTAAGATGAAAGCTTATGTTATCTGATTGACTGATGGTTCATGCTGTATGTGTGTCAGTAGACAACATTAACTACTCAAGCAATTTAAACTTAGTGGTTGTAAATGTGTTTTATATGCTCACAGTCTGCAAAATTGCTGCTACAAAAAGACTTAAATTTTAGATTAGTTTGCTGTCAGAATAAAATGTCTTCATAATTTACCTCAACCTTATAGTCCAAGATATTTTTTTTCTTCTTTCAGCGAACAATATTTTTTAAGGAAAACATGCTGTGGGCTGAACTTCAAAACTGCTTTTGTTTCAGTGCAGTTTCAGGAAGTTCTAAATTATATGTAAGGGTCATATAAAGATAATGTATTTATCATCAAATAAATAAATACATTAATATATTTGTTAGTTTAAACCACTGAGCACCATAGAAGTCAACTATATGCAGCAAAATCTAACATGTTTTCCTTAAAAAAAATTGTTTTGGTTTAAAGTACTGTAACATCATTTGCTGGACTATTTTGTTAGAGTACATGGTTTAAAATGATCATGGATACTTTTTAGAAAATTTACTTTAAAAAAAAAATGTTTTAGTTATTTTTGTTTAAAATATATGCTGGAATAGTTGGCGGTTCAATCCTCTGTGGCGACCTCTGATATACTGTATAAAAGACTAAGCCGAAGGAAAAAAATAAATGTATATTTGTGTAGTTAACCTAGTTAATGCTATCAAATTATAATTCATGACCAGATTGTATTAGTTTTCTTAAATTAACTACATGAACCCTTTGTTCATTCTATATTTCAACTGTATTCCCAAATCCTAGTTATTCTTCTTTCTTGATCATGTTGGTGTATTAGTTACTGTGCCTCTTTCACTCATGATGTACTACACTCAATTTCCCACTGAATCTGATTCATTGTCTTTTCTCTTTCTGTCTTCAGTCTGAGTGATTGCAGTATTACAGAGAAACAGTGTGTGATCCTGACTTCAGCTCTGAAATCAAACCCATCACACCTGAGAGAACTGAACCTCAATGGGAATAGACTAGGAGACTCTGGAGCTTATGGACTTGGCCATCTGCTGAGCAGTGTGGATTGCAAGCTGAATAAACTACAGTTAGTAACATTATTATGTACAGAAGTAGTGCTTGGTTGAATTTTACTATTGAGTTATTTAAAAAAAAAAAAAAGACCAATTAACTTTTTAAAATTTCATAATGACATCTGACTTATTTTATTTAAAAATTGACAAAAGGGAAAATGGAAAAACCTTTATAAAAAGTGTGACTATAGATTATTCTGACAAAATTATGGTTTCTACAATAGTTAGTTTATAAAGTTAGCTACAGAAGATTACCTCAAATGTTTGTTCAATTAATTTATTTTTTATATACATTTCCAGACTAAAACAGGTTTCAACACGTATTACCTCTGAAAAGCAAGAAAAGGTCCATTGTTCCAAACAATACACAAACTTTTTCAATCAGTTCTGTGTTGATGTTCTTTTTTTAAATACACTTTTAATTTATAACTGTTCATTCACTGCTGATAATGGCTCTAAAACTGAGTTTAATAGTATCCAATTCTAGCTATATGGTTTATGGTTCTGTAAGTTAGTTTCCATTTTTCATTTCTAGAACGTGTGTATGGCATACACAAATTACAAATTAATCCATACACAAATTTAACTTCTGATGTCATTGATTTTTTTGTTTCTGTCTTCAGTCTGTGTGATTGCAGTATTACAGGGAAACAGTTGCACTTCCTGATTGCAGTTATGTGTATGGACCCATCACACCTGAGGGTACTGGACCTCAGTAAGAATCAAATAAAAAGCAGAGGAATGAACATGCTGTGTGATGTGCTGAATAAACCACGCTGTAAACTCAAGAGTTTAAGGTGAGGAAGACACAAGAAAATGCTTAAAATAGTTTTTTTTACTTTGTATTTTAACTTTAAAGTTTTTACTCACCATCTCACAAAGGACTTCACTATATATTTGTGAGAAATAATTCCTGCTAGTGATGGGCTTTATTTTAGCAAACTTTCACCAGGTACTAAACACAGGTCGAATTTGCAGAGTTAAATGATGCAGGTTTCATTTCATTTTTTATTTAATGTTATTTCAGTGAACAGTAACATTCATGAGTAAGTATGCGCTTTAACAAAAATGGCAGAGACCGTAGAGCAAACAAAAGCAGGATAATAACTACATGACACAATTTTTCCAAATTATATGCACAAAATAGTATTTCATTATCTTTTCCACAACCAGAGGAATTGTCTTTCAACAAGTTTGTTTATTAAATAAGAAGCTGTTTTCTGCATCAGTTAGGGTTAAGTAACTTTTTACCAGCTGAAACATAATCATCCATTCAGTAATTATCCAATTAGAGGCTCTTATCTATATGCTTCTGCTCTCCAATATGGCTGACTGATGATGCATTTTAAAACGCCTATATTGGATTTCTACGGTGCTTAGGGATAAAAGCTTCCCAACTGCAGCTTTATTACATAGAACATTACAGAACTGTCTTACCAAAACAATCATTGAATTCCTTAAAAAAATAATGTACTTTTACCATAAAAGCTTGCATCTCAAAGCTACCCAGCAGGCACAGGAACTCAACATGATGTCAGATTGACATTGTACCCCAACGTTGTGGGGTACTTAACGTCAGACCAACATCAGTGTCCAAGGTCGAACAGACATTGCATTTTGGTTACTTAGCAACACAACCTAAAAACAACCAAATATCAACGTCTAATGATGTTATAGCTTGATGATGTATGGACATTACCACTATGACGTCTATCAGATGTTGGATTTTGGTTGCCATACCTGATGAATAAATGTCAATACGACGTTGGCTTAAAATGCTGGCTCTGTTGGATTTGGGTCACTTACCAACGCAAGCTAAAAACAACCAAATATCAACGTCATTTGACATTGTTTTTGGACGTCAAAATAATTTACACTGAATTTTGGTTACTCAACCTCACAACCTAAATCTAACCAAATAATAACATCTTATGACGTTGTGTGCCTGCTGGGTAGTGTCAGACAAGCTCTTGTGGTTAAAAAGTATATATGTTTTCCTTCTTTATTATTATTTCTTCTTTATGACTTTATACATTTGACATTTTATACAAGTGTCAACAACAGAAAGTAGCACAGTCTCTTTGTTTATGGGGGTTTCATGAGCTACTGTCAGAGAAACTTCTTTTTTATTCAGGCTGTGTCCTTTATCTGTGGTGTTTGACCATCTGAGAGTGACACAAGCAATAGTCTCTGTTTATCTACAGCAGGCCATTATAGCTTGCTAAAGCTCTAGGAATTCTCTGCCAACAGAAATCTATCAGATGAAATTACTCATCACATTATGGCTATACATTTACATATAAAAAGAAAATGCAAATTTACCTGCACCTCCAGGGTCAATATTGATATCTATTTTTTTCTGTGTCTGTCTCTTTCTAGACTAAATGACTGTGGCATTACAGATGTTACACACTTAACTCAGTCTTTGGCTGAGAACAAAGCACTGGAGTTCTTAAAAGAGCTTGAACTGAGTAAAAATCAAATGGGAGACTCCGAAAAGCAAAAACTCAGTGACCTGCTGCGAGACTCAAACTGTAAACTGAGGTGAGTAAATATCCGGTCAACATCTATCTCATTAAGCAGAACTGAAGTGGGGTTCATTACAAGACAATTAGTTAAAACAAAACAAGTGTGTGTGTGTGTGTGTGTGTGTGTGTGTGTGTGTGTGTGTGTGTGTGTGTGTGTGTGTGTGTGTGTGTGTGTGTGTGTGCATGTGGCTGGTTTGAATTATTGTTAAACAGCAAATAATATGTACACAAAATATATTACTATGAAGAAGAGATTTCTAATGCATACAAATGCAATATGTATTGTATATTGTATATTTATTGTTGGTTTGTATTCATACAAGGGTATTTTTATTATTTTTAACAGGTTAGACTGATCAGGCAGAGGAGGCTGATGAGTTCTCAAATGAGGTGGATTAGCTGGAAGTGCAGTATAACAACTACATTATGATGTTGCGAGTCAGTTTTAGCTTTTCTGTCAAATGATATAAACAATGTCCAGTGTGAACAATTAATTTATTTTGGTCTACATCAACACCGGTTCAAATATGTTCTAGTAATATGCATTGTTTATATTTACTTAGATTGTAGTTATATTTAACATATCGGTTTTGCATATATTTTAGTTTTTTACCTTTTATATGTAACATTTTCATTTAAATTTGTAGTAAGTTCTGTGTCTGTCTACAATAAATGAGCGAACATTTCTCTACAAAAAAAAAAAAAAAAAAGCTTTGGCTGATGTAGGATGGTGTCTTATTTCCCACATCAGCCATAAGTAACTTTTAATACAACCAGAACCGGCTAACAGCATTTATTTACCGTCCCATAATCCCCTGCACTCTTAAGTTGCTTGTCTGTACAGTGATCAGACAGTCTAAATTATTTTTGTTTAATGTTTTTTATTAATAATGTCTGCAGTTGTATTATATAAATAAATATATAAATAAAAATGGGATCATTGTATTTGCTTGATCTGTTTATTATTTCAGTAGCTAATTATAAGTATAACCTATGATAGAGCTGTAGATGCAGTGATTCTCCTGTTTATACAGTGGAGATCAGAATAAGAGAACAATGTACAATTTCAAAATTTCTTAAATCTTTTCAAGGTCACTGGATAGTAGGGCTGCACAATATTTTTCTGCGTTGTATGTTGCAAAATGAATACAATTTCACCAGATGAATTTAATACCTTGTATGTATGTGTGTATCCATACAAGGTATTAATATATATATATATATATATAGGCTAATCTTTAATAATTTAAAATATTTTTACTAAATTATGCAAAGTTTCAAATGATACAATTTCTTGCTTGTTGCTTTAAACTCTCTTAAAATGCTCACACAGTCACATGCCTTCAAATCACATGTACATGATATGCTCTCACATATTATGGCTAGTCACTGCAGTGACTCTACAAACCTCATGTGTTCTGAAATGTGGTGCTGCCTAATTATAATCCCAACTCAACATTGCATGTGCTGTGATGTGACTATTGCAGATGCGCACATTGCGATATACTGATGTTAAAACGATA